AGCGAACACCCAACCTCACTTTTCTGTCATCCTTTACTCTTACTGGGTCTCCTCATGGGTGACCCCGGGTAGGGGTCAGAGGGCAAGGTCACAACACATAGAGGTCAGTCTGCAGGGCACAGCGGAGAGCGGAGAGTGAGGTGGAGATGCACAGCCTGGCACAGTCAAGAAACATCATTGAATGGGATCTGGGAGAAGAGTTCTTAGACTCGTGTTATAGAAAAAGCAGAGCACAACTAGACATTATGTGCATGTCTCCATTTATCACTCTGTAATTGTAATTGTAAATGCCTTTTACTAATTGCCTTTCTCCTCCAACAAATGAGCTCCTTAACACCGGATCCTCAGCTTGTAGTCACTGCATGGTAAACACAGGGAGTCGTAAATGAAAGGGTGAATTATGTGGTTTACAATTGTTAAGAGTTCTGAGACTATAGTGCGGGACACTTCAAAGTACTGGAATAATGAATGTGACACTGTAAAAAAGCATTATCTCCTAATTTGGGTTAACTTAACTTGTCATAAAATAGATATAGCTTTGTAGGTTAGTATTCTTAAAAAAATGGTTCATATATGTGAAGACTACATACACACACACGTTAACACTTTTAAAATCAGATACATCTTAATAAATGTGATACTAATGCTCTTTGTCCAATGTGCTTTGCCTTTTTTTTTTTTATGACATTACATTATGGCTTGTATGCAATCTTTGCAATGATACAGAAATTAGGGGAAAGCTGGAAATTTTTCTCCTTCTCCACTCCATCCTATGCAGAAGTGAATAAAATAGAACGCATGATAAATGTTAAACTTCTTATATATTTGCTTGCCTTATTTTCAATAGGACTTTAAATATTTTACATACTCAAGGCATAAAATTAGGGGGAAAAGCTTTTCATAAAGCAGCGTTTCTGCATTTGCTCGTCAATGGAGTAGTTTCTGTTAATAATATAACCGCTTGCTGCTGCACTGACTCTCTAAACTATGTCATTCCGTTCTGCCCAGACTATCCTCATGACAGCTATGCTGTACCTGTACTTTTTCTGTTTTCTAGACTGGCCCAGCTATTCAGAGTCTGGCATTCCCGAGACATCAGACAGCATTACCCTCAGACATAACAGAAACACTTCAAAGAATCCAGCTCTGAGTGCAGTGGCATTTTATATAGTCTGATCTTGCCCAGAATGAAAGAGGAGCAGAGTGTGCCTCTATATCCCCAATGCATACACAGTATTGTTAATGAAAACTGATGCAAGAAAAAGAAATAACAAGAATGCTTCAATAGGAGACATGAACACATATTAAAGCAGCAGATTAAAATTGAAAAAAAAAAAAAAAGAGTGGAAAGAAAGCTACAACTACATGGGGTGCTAGCCATGAGGTAGCCTGGAATGAGAGGGGATCTTGTTGACTATTATTCAGTAAAACAAATTAGAAATTTGGACCCACCTTTAAGTAAATCTACGGGGAAAATAAACATTTGAATAAAACGATCAAACTAGGTATGACATTAAAAAGATAGTTTTTCAATTCATTAAATTACTCACTAGCAAATTCCTGTTACCTGTTCATGTGTTCAGATAATGGTTCAACCTACAAAAGTGTGATTATACACTTTCTTTCTTTTTAAAGATTTATTTATTTATGCATACAGAATTGGGGTACAGGCCAGAGGTACAGGGGTGGTGAGAGAATTCACTGGAGACAGAGTGGGGAGCAGAACAGGCAGACTGCTGAAGTACACTGCTTCATTCACTGAAGTACACTACTACATTCTTCAGATTTGCACACAAAAGAAATCTACACTTTATCCCTGTGGCTGATCGCAACATGAGCACATCAGTCAATATTGTATTGACTGATGTGGATGGTCCCTCTACTAGCAGCAGATGAGACAGGAGAGGTCTGCCACGCCATGTGGATCACCTCCAGTGCTGGGGCTCGAACTCACACTGAAACGGCTGTGATTAGCTTGCAGGGTTGCACTTTAACCTGCTGCACCACCGGGGAGGGCCTGATGATACACTTTCAGAAACTCTTTTTTAAGTATACATCTTCTGCATATAGCACATCTGCATTCTTTTCTTGGTGTCTTTCAATTTTTTTATGAAGCAGAGATTGCTGGTAGACAACTTCATTATCCATTCTGTCTTTCTTTCCTACAAATAACACCCAATTTTATTTAGAGAGACAACATATCCTGCAAATTCCCTTGCAGCTAGGTGTGGGTCTGTGGTGGGAGTAGCTCTTGGTCAATGAACTGTCAGCATAAATTCTTTCTGAAACTTCTGAGACTCCTCCTTAAGGAAAAGAGAAAAAGAAATCCCTTCTTCACAGTTTCTCTTTCTCGTTGCCTAGAATGTAGATACAACTGGAGCTGTGGCAGCCATCTTGGGGAAAAGCCACACAATGCAGATGGCAAGAGAGAGTTCTCTGAGGACCCAGGCAGCTGCCATTCCAGCTATGGCCTGTCTGCCCATAGACTTCTTTAAGATGAGAGAAAAACTTGTTCTGAGACACTTGTTTTGTCTTTTGTTACATGCTGCCAAATCTACTAATAATACATTTTACTTTCAAATAAAATATTCTATTCAATTATGTTCTAGTTAAAAGCAGCAAATGTTAGCAAAATGACTTAGGCATTTGTGTAGGAGCCTAGCTCTAAGAAAAGTGGTACACATTCCCCTCTGGTTTGCAGCTGATATTGCCTTGAGAATTTGACATGATTTTGTTGCTGTTGTTGTGTGTTTATATTTTTCTTTAGTGAATTTTTCTGCACTCCAGTTTTAATTATCTCTTTATAAATGGTTTAGGCTTTACTTGGAAAGTATTGCCTAAAGCCAACTTAACTAATTAACTTTTAAGTTAGCACTAAATTTATTTTTATTCTTTTACGCCTTCCTCAAGAATAAAACACTACTATTTAATCTGTTTTTGGGAATATCTGCTTTATTTATGGGACTCATTTGGTTAGTGTCTTCAGTCTCTCTTTTCCTCCCCAAATTCTTTATAATTATCAAAATCTTGGAATCTGTTCTGTCTTGCAGAGACTTTTTAATCTTAGTTCATATAAACCACTATAAGTCATGAGTTCAGACTTTATATAGTCTAGCTAAAAAATTAGTGACTGTCACAGCTACGCACTGATACAGCTATATTGTCAGCTCCAAATAATGATTTGTTCTAGTCAAATGCACTTTGAGAAAAGGCCCGGAGCTCAGTGTAAGTTCAAATAGCTGATCTATTGAGAATTTTTTTCCACGAATTTTAGTATTACCCAGGGATCTTGTACAAAATTCCAGACTAAAATGGATGGTCCCTCTACTAGCCTCTTGAAAATTCAATTTTCCAAACAAAGAGTCTTAACTTTTCTTTCAGGAGCTAAAGTAAGTAAAGAAAGAGCTGGTGGAAATAAACTTGAGTATTCGATTAAAGCAATACAATATTGACTGATGTGCTCATGTTGCGATCAGCCACAGGGATAAAGTGTAGATTTATTTTGTGTGTGAATCTGAAGAATGTAGTAGTGTTGTTTTTCTTGAAAATATTTAATAGGTCACTACCTTCCCTGACTGAGTAAACTCTGCAGTTATACACTGTGAAAGTATGTCTACATAATATAGCTTATATTCTACTCACTCATACTTGAGAGAATTACTTTGTGTTAATGGGGCTACTTTAGTTAATTACTTTATATTTTTATCACTCTTTTGAAAAAAGCCTCCTGATTCTTTTGTTGCTTTGATTTGCTACTCTCTAATACATTTTGAATTGTTCAAATACCAAGGGGCAGTGAATTCTATTTTCCCTGGGAAAATATTTTCAGTTTTAGAGGAAAGAGGAAAAAAAAGTATAAAGTATTTTCATAGGAAAAAAAAAAAGCTGCAAAGCCAAGCAAATATTAATGTTAATCTAAAGCTGTTATTCATCATTTTATAAAGCACTGAATTTAAATGAAAACATTAGGGAAAGCTCCTGAATATTTTCTATTGTATTTTTAAAGATCAGTGCAATACTCTGCCAAAAAATATGTTTATAAATGTCAATAATGCATAAGTATGTAATCATTTTAAAAAATCAAACTTTCGGACCCTCCCTGGTAGCACAGAGGGTTAAAGCACAGAACTACAAAGCTATAGCAGCCACTGTAGCACAAGTTCTATCCCAGCCAGAGGGAGGTGACCCACATGGTGCAGGAGACCTCTCCTGACCCGCCCACTGCTCCCCTCAGCTGTACACTTCAGTACGTCTGTCTGTTCTGTTCCCCACTCTGTCTCTGGTGAGTTTTCTCACCCCCAACCCTGCACCTCTTGGCTATACCCCAGTTCTATATGTATAAATAAATAAATCTTTAAAAATAAATAAACAATAAAACTTTGCTGTGTTATCTGGTACATTCTTATGACATGAAGGTAACAAGACAAGTAGGAAAGCTTAAAATCTCAGCAACTCTTTTCACAATCTGCCACCAAAGGCCTTTCAATGGCCTTTGTTAAAGAGATGTAGACTAGAAAAAACAAAATTTAATTTTACATGGAGAAAAACAATAGGCTTTGGAGCTTCTATTATTCAATCACTTCTCCCAACTGTTAAAGGGGGTAGACACAGTAGAAATATCAAAAAACAAATCTGTAGAGTTTGCTTATGACCCTTCCATACTGAAGACCTGATATCAATGATTTCATGATGCAATTTCTTTCTTCTGGATGAATCTGGAATCTTCCATTTGGGGGAGAGTAGAATTATAAGAATGACAGAGGAGAGCGTTAAAGAGTTCTCAACAACCCAAGGACAAACTTTTCATTGGAAATAATTCCATTGAATTCTATACACTGAGCTCCAAAGAAGCTGAAGAGCTCACTCCAGGGCAAGTTGGATTCTTTCTTCAAGGTCTGACTTCTTAGTCCCCAGAATTCATCAATGTAGTGCCCACTAAATGGCAGGGACTTAAAAAGTGAAAATCATACAGAAGTAAGAACACTTACCATTTCTGGATTCTCTGCAGCTAGCTTTACTGTCTTTTCTGAGATCATCTTTTTCAAGCAGCTACTCAGCAAAAAAGCCTAAGAAATCCAGACATAAAAAACTCTCACACGAAGGCGTCATTTTCTTCCTTACCTCATACACCAAAAAACTGATTCTTGAGCTCTTCCCTTCCTTAGCAAGCTTTTAAGAATTTTGATTTGTTCAACTTCCATAAACTTTCATAAGATTTAACTAGCAAGTAACAATAAATCCTCCCAATTATATAGATATATTTGCAAGTAAATTTTAAAATAAGATGGAAAATTGACACAAGCTATGCAACCTCTATCGACTGACAAATTCCGGATAGAGACGGAAGTGCTCTGAAAAATCAGACATTCTGTAACTGGGTGGTCCCTAGAAGAAGGGAAGTTCCAGGTTCCCTGCCCCACCCAGAAGGAGGGTGGAACTGAACAGAGAAAAAGGAGAGAGAAGAGAGGGAGGGCAGATGGAGAAGGAGGAGACCTGAGGAAGCCACATGGAGCAGCAAACATGTGATGAAGAAACCAGGCTTGTTTCCTGACCCTGGACTGGTTAAGGCAGATGTGGGTGAGATACCTGTAGGGAGGTGACTATGGCAGTGTTTAT